CTCTTAAGACGTTCCCGGTAATGCTTCACGATACGATGTCGAGAAGGTCTTTGCATCTCCACATGGCACGATCACTTTTCTGAGCTGGACATATTGCTACTTACACCTGTATCGATCCGTTCATCAGCTGCTCCGCCTGAATCACCAAGTTTATGATAACTTACACTTTCTTCTTTTTTGGTGTGGCAAGGACGATATCTATTTCCATTAAACACCAAAGAACCAGAAAAGGGTGGTGAGAACCCATCTCAACGGGACGAGGTGAAGATATCTTATTTTTTAGAAATCATGTGAATAGGCTTTGCATCGAGTGACATGAGGCTGCTTGCACTTGTGGAGACTCTTCTCCTGTTTCATGCTTGAAGAAGAAATGATAACATCAGATTCTTGTAGGAAATCCCCCACACAAAAAACAACTTCGAGGGCTTCTACAGCCGCAAGCAGAGGTTCGGGGTTACTTCTCGCAGGAAGGAGGAGGTTCGAGGGGCAACACCATCCAAACTTAGACCGCAGTGGTAAATTTTGTGCGGGGATGACCAGGAGGCTTGAGTTGTAATGTATGAGACAGCAGTTGCTGTCTCATACATTATAACTCAATGGCATAATAAGCTGGACGACTACTGGAGAGACTATATTAGATGGAAGCAACAGCGGTGGGACAGGTGGACATACGCTCACTATTTGGCACGATCGACTAGTGACACATGGTCTGTTCAACGTCAGACATCGGGGTCAACTCTGCAGATCAGGTGAGGTGAGATGGAAGACACTGAGAAACGTCCTCAAGAGTTACTCGTCCTCAAGAGGAAGAGTAACGATACCCCCTGCTGGCTTTGTGCACAAAGGCTGTAACTAAACCAACAGTCATCGCCGTTTGCCGAGGTGCCAGGTTCCGAGTTATTTGACTTCTGTGTCAAGCTCGGAGTCCTTTGCCAGACCGCCCCCAAGTCGAAAGCAAAGTCGTTGCGACGATGGACACATTGTACACCGGTGTCAAATTGTTGCTTGAGCTGGTGGGAACTGCATGCCAAGTCCAAGAACGCAGTCAATGGCCTGCCCTCATAGCTCATACTGATTCATACTAAATGCACACAGATCGTAGTTGTCGAGCTAATACAAGGTCGTTTGTCACGAGATTACACTATCACGCGGTTAGAGTATGTTGGAAGCGACGACTTTATTTCAGGGGAAAAGACATAAAGGCCGATGCCAAGCCGTGACATCCTCGTTCTTTCATTTTAGTTCTTGACCGAATTCGCTCACTGAGTTGTTTTAATGGCCATTGATACCGCCATAACAAGCCCACAGTGACATGACAATCAGGTCCTGCTGATCACTGACAGCTCTAACAGCAGATTGTAGCTCACATGTAAACCAAGATTCTCCTCTCGAAGCTCTCTAAAGCGACATGTGAGCAGCAGATATCCGAGCATTTGGAGCGAACGGAGCATAAAAGTACAAATCCTCCCTGGAGGAAACGAGTTCCAACAAGACAAATTAATGGTCTTACCTTCGCGACCCTTTTCCGTTGCAGTCCATCGCTCGTCGTTGGTGCGTGCTCTTCTACTACAGTTCAGAATAGTACACTCATTTGCTCTACGTAGAGTCCAGCAAGGTCACCTGAAGATCTGTGTTGTACGAGCTGAGATGTGCCACACCATGTGGCGGGGGGTTGTTAGAGAGAGGGCCGGATCAGAGCAGTAAAAGTGGAAAGAGTGCGAGAATCCTGATCCAAGAACGGTCACTTCGGAGATCGAGTCTTCTCTCTTCTTCTCTTGGGAGGGGACGAACAGTTCCTGGATCCGGTCATGTGACTTGACTTGTTCTCGGTTGGAGCAGGTCATGTGATCCGCATCGATGATCGGTCACCCGAAGCATACGTATAATTCCTGCATGGCGAGTGAATTGCAGGTATAGGACGTATGTGCTGGTCGAAAGAGATGCGTGTATGGATGGGAGGATGGAGAAAAGTGCCCAGAGGTGGTCAAGGAGACAAGTTTGGGCTTATCTCTCCAATGCCGTTCCTCAGCGCCTGCGAAGACCAAAGTGAGGAGTAAAAGGCCATTTTCAGACATGAAGGTGACATAAACTTATCTTCCTTTTACTGGATTATACCAGAACGAGTCTCGCCTGAAGAAGAATAAAATCTACTATGTGGCCCAGCGCCCACATTGCCCACATCTTGAGGGCCCGAAAGAGTAGCATCAAGTTCCCTCGACCTCACATGAAACAACACACACCAATGACTCGGTGACCGAGCCTGGCCAAAACAAAACTTAACCGAGATGCGAGCTGGGGCTTCGACATTATGTGCAAATCAAAAGCTAGCCTAAGCTTAGTTCAATCCTGGCTAAGCTTGTAAAGACGCGAACGAGAGCTGGAAACAGCACGTACAGTGCTGGCCTATAAAAATATTTTTGCACACATGCAATACGGTTTTCCTCTTTCTCTGTCGAGTATTTTAATATGATTTTTGCGAGATTGAGAAAAGTTGCATGCAGCCCTTACTGCATCGCTTGGCCATCAGTTAGCTAAGGTCGAGGCATGGACTCTCATAGGCACAAAAAAATGTATAGTTTGTGCTTTTCAAAGATGCCGGAATAATAGTGCGATTCAATATTTGTACAAACCTATGATTGTCACGCTGACAAATATCTCAGCTAAGATGCCGTCAGTGAGGGCATCGTAGTTATTGAGCTCCAGACCAATGAAAAATTCGTTAGTAAATTTGGCGAGATATGTTCGAAAGTGGAAGAATAACTGACAGAAGTATTTCTGCCATTCTTGCAAGGGGAACTTTACGAGGCGACCGATCACATGCTAAATCGAAGCGCCTTCTCTCTATCGCGGCGTTTAGAGTTCACATATCAATGACACAACTCTAATCATGGAGTCGTAGATATGTCCACAATTCTTCAGAGGCAGAAAAAGGGAATAAGAGGGAGGTTCAGGAGCATCTTATCATCATGCGAGATCCATCTGGGAAGAGGGAAGGACACCGGGCAAATAACCATGATAACACCGGGAAGAAAGACGAGCATCTTCCCATTTCTGAACTAAAATGGAATGGACAGTCTTTGGGAGAGAAGAATATGTGAGTCAGCGCGTCAGTTGCCCTGCGATCGCAGTGAATGTGTAAGAAGGCTTTTGCAGATGAAGCAGAGGCAAGACTGGAGGCCGGAGAGGATTAGAGGCCAAGGGAAGACTAGATCATCCATCATCCATCTTCCATATTCCTCGAGCCTCGACAGCCATAGCAAGCAGTAGTTTGGACCAAGCGCGTAAGCATTAGTTAACAGAAATCTTTTAGCTGAGATATTCTTACGAGAAAAGTGGCTGATTGATTATTGGCACTGCTTCCACCAACAACCCTTGATAGATACCATAGAAAACCGGGGGACGAAAACAGAGGGTTCCATCTTCCTTGACCGGGACTATATTTATACCTTGAAGGGGTCCGGTCAGCCAGGCCGTCTTCGTAAAAATAGTAACTCTGGCGACGACGAGGGAGGGAGTAATAAGGGGCGGGGGAGTACACAGAATACATCGCTGCCCTGTACATGGAAATGGAAGCTGCATCGAAAGCTTGCTTGCCCGTCGCGGGTCGCGGTCCGTACAGGCTGTTCTGCGATGCAAATGGGGAGGGACACGGTTTGGAACAAAATTGGGCAGAGACCCCGTTAAGCAAATTCGGTTGGGGACCAGGGGGGGGGTGGGGGTTGGGAATCTGAGGATTACGGGACTTAACCTCCCTCGTATAGAGCCGTAAGGGCCCATCTCTCGGATGAAAGGGATGCACGAAACGAGGTTTTACTCCTGGACGACTGGCGGAAGGAGCGCACGATGGACGCGTTTCTGGCAGCCGAATAACTGCGAGACTTCAAAAGCAGTAACCCAAATGATTACCAGTATCTGGAGGGGCGGGCGGGGCCGTCGATCGGGAAAATCGACGGCCGGGATTCGAAGTTCTCCCGAAAGCCCGTCAGACTCGTGTTGCAAATTCCGAATTGAAGTATGCGGTGAGAGGATGATCTGGTTTTGGCGGAATGATTAGTTACGAACTAATCAGGTCAAAAAGAGAGGGGGCATGAGTCACACGGGCGAAGAAGTCAGTGCATGTTCCCGACTCGAGGGGGCGGTAGAAGAGAGAGCTCAGGACAGGGACAGGAGGGCAGTAGGGCCCCGGCGTGAGCGGCCGGGTGCGGCCGGGCAGTGGATAGGGGAGCGAGACCGGCGGGCGGACGACGGGCTAAACTGGCAGCGGGGCTGAGCGAGCGAGACGGGAACGGGGACGGGGACGGGAGCCGGGGCAACAAACGGGGGTATATGAACAGAAAATCACGCGGCTAGAGATACCAGCGGATCGAGGCGAGATCGACCGTGCGAACGTGGAGTCGAAATCCGCGGCCCCGGCACGGGCTCGCGCGGGCCGACGACGGCCCGGGGCAGTCAGAGCGCTTGTGATCGTCGGATCTGCGATGGACGGTGCGGAGTCGGCCGGCCGTCGCCCTCCGCGCCGTCCCCGCCCTCTGCCTGCCCTGCACGACCGGCAGTGGTCCTGGCGACGGCTGCTCTCGCCGCTCTGGCGCGAGGGCTGCTGCTCGCTCTCCGCTGACGCTGGCCCGCCACGGAGGGGAGAGTTGACGCGACGACCGAGCGGGCGAGCCTAGGCAAGAACGGGCGACGGAGGAGGGCCGGACCGGGTCAGTACGAGAGGAACAAGATCAGATCGAGCGCGTTGGGGCTCGCAACGGGAGAAAGAGCAGCCCGATATTATTAGTATAATAATGGCCAGCAGCGAGTGACGGGACGAGTGAGGCCGCGACAGCGCGATAGCCGCCCGCGATACTGCACCACCCGGACCGGACACACGGACGCGGGGGCTGCCGAGCAGGATCGCGGCTGGCATTTCCCGTCGTCCCCTGGGCCCGGGGATTTTTTAAATCCCCGGTGTACACTCGCCGCGACGGAGAATCGCCGAACGCGTCCCGCGGAGGGCGATGGGAAGCAAAAGGCAGGGCGCGGAAGCAGCGGAGGGTCGGGTCGGGTCAGGGTCGGGGCAGGCGAGGCAGGGTGGCCGAAAGCGACGGGCGGAGGGGACAAGGTGGGGAGTCTCGGATGTGCCGTGCCGCCTCGTTATTTTGTCCGTTGTCGAGGGTCGGGGAAGGCGGGCGGGCGGGCGGGGGAAGACGGGACCGAGGCGGAGGCGGAGGCAGGCAGGCAGGCCCAGGGGAAGGGGAAGAGGGAGGTCGTGGGACGCGCTTGGCTGCTCTTCTCGCTCGGACGAGGACTCGAGGAAGCGAGGGAAGGGGGGAGGTTGTGAAAGGGCCGCGGGGAGGCTGCGAGTTCAGTGGGCTGCGAAGAGAGAAGAGAGCCAGGGAGCCCCGGGATATTCTTGTAAACCCAGTGCACGCTGTGCTGCTTCCGCTTGTGAGAGCATCGAGAGCGGGACAGAGAGATTAGATAGACAGAAGGAGAGGTCGCCGAGAGGTAAGAGAGATATAGAGAACAACCGAAAAGAGGTAACTGGACAGAGAGACAGCGAGAGATAGAGAGCGAGCGCGAGCGCGAGGGAGAGAGGCAGAGAGCCAGAGAGGGGTGGGGTGAGGAGAGGGCAAAGTGGTGGTGAGTGTCCGAGATCATCTGTCGCTTGCTCAAAGCGACGAGAAACGGAGCGAGTGTGCGAGCGAGTCGAGTGGCAGACAGTCAGGGGCTTGCTGCTGCGTCGCCTGGATTTTAATCGTTTGAACGCAGTTCGGTCTGAGCATCGAGAAGTAGCTCATGTCCATAGAGGAACGAGGACGGCAAGGAAAAGCGACGTGCTAAGGTAGAGGGGAGTAGGCATGGGCAACTGCGTGGGAGGCCACAGTGATCGTAAGAATGGGCTCAATCCCAACGAGCCTGCGCCTACGAATGTGCAACGCGGAACCGGTGCTCCTCAAGGTACCCACGGTGGTGCAGGTACTGCTGGCGTCTCCGCCCACGGATCTACTCCAGCTCCAATGGGCGGCATCTCTGCCAAACAAAAGCCCACGTTGACTGGCAATGTGCTTGGCCGGCCTCTGGAAGATGTGCGATCCATCTACACCCTCGGTCGCGAACTTGGTCGTGGTCAGTTTGGTGTCACGCATTTGTGTACGCACAAGGTCACAGGTGAGCTTTTAGCCTGCAAGTCAATTGCGAAGAGGAAGTTGACCAACAAGGACGACGTAGAGGATGTTCGGAGGGAAGTGCAGATCATGCACCACTTAGAGGGTCAGAAGAACATTGTCGAATTGAAGGGCGCGTATGAGGATAAACACAACGTGCATCTCGTCATGGAGCTTTGTGCTGGCGGAGAACTCTTCGACCGCATTATTCAGCGGGGCCACTACAGTGAGAGGGCGGCTGCAGCTCTGTGTAGAACTATCGTGCAAGTGGTTCAGACGTGCCATTCTCTGGGAGTTATGCACCGGGATCTGAAGCCCGAGAATTTTCTACTGGCCAACAAGAAGGAGGATGCACCCCTGAAGGCGACGGATTTTGGTCTTTCTGTCTTCTTCAAGCCTGGTAAGCCTTGTCTCGTGTGCGCAGAACCCCCGGTGCGCTTCACTGCTCTTCTCATCGTGTTAGGGCTGTCTAATCCGTCACGAAACGTGATTGGTATCGTTGCGTTGTGGATCCAATGTGGACTCCTACTCTGTCGCTGATGCCCAAGCAATCGTGAGAAGCCTGGCCGCTTCCTTGTCTTTCGGTCAAGGGGATTTGAAATTTAAGGTGTCCTTGTAGAAAATTCAAGTGCTGCATGCCAGTTTGTCGATATACCTTCGACTGACGATTGCGCGATTGATGATTCGGAAGGATTTGTCGGATTCCGTCTCAAGCATCTGTTCACACCCACAGTGACCATGCCACGAAGCCATCGGCACGGGACTCAACCCAGCCAGAACTGCCCAGTTACAGATCGGCATTGAGATCCACGCGGTCTCGTTCTCAAGCGAGCAACTCTTTGTGCCAATTGGGGAATTTCATACTTTAGGGCACCATTCCTGGAATCGGGGGACTGTGAGATTTGACCCGCGGGTGCAAAGGACAGTCCTGGTCTCTAGTGCTTCCAGTAATTATCCTTAGACACCGGAGCTACCGGTCATGCGGCTGCTAGAATCCATCCATAGTCTTCCTGTGAGGGTTGTCCTCGGAGGGAGCTTGCCAATCAGCAACTGTTTGCAACGACACTGGCAAAAGGCGGAGTTCGACTGGGTAATGTTGGAGTAACTGAAGTTTGGATGGTAGACTAGGACCTTTTCCTGGCTTTCGATCCCACGTTGCTCAACATTCTCGGTGGTCTAGCCGAGCCTTGTGTGGATTTCACGATGGCAAGGAGTCCTGTATTTCGGTGACAAGAGGAGGATAGATAATAGTCACGTTCGTATCTGACCCTCGTAACGAGTTAGAGCCTACTTCTTCTAAGTTTTTGGCTTTGAGGATCACCCCACCCCAGTATAGCTGACAGGTGTGAGCGTGCTGGGAATGTGCAGGAGAAGTATTCACAGATATTGTTGGAAGTGCTTATTACGTGGCACCGGAGGTTTTGCGTCGTAACTATGGGCCTGAGGCTGATGTTTGGAGTGCTGGAGTCATTCTTTACATTCTTTTGTGCGGAGTCCCTCCTTTCTGGGCAGGTACGATAGGTCTCATGGCCAGTCTCACCTCAGTTTGTAGACTGGGAACACGTTTTGAATGCATTCTAGCTGGTGTACCGTCGTTAAGTCAGAAGTTTGCTGTATTATTGAGAAATGTGGGTTTCCATATCCCAACTTACATGTGGGCTTTTCTTGCAGAAACCGAACAAGGTATTTTTGATGCCGTAATGCACGGTCATATTGATTTCACTAGTGATCCTTGGCCTTCAATTTCTCAAAAGGCGAAAGATCTGGTTAAGAAGATGCTGAAGCAGAACCCAAAGGAGCGATTGACGGCCCATGAAGTTTTGAGTAAGTGATAAATCGCAGTTGTACTTGGGAGTTCATGCAAACTTAAGGACAGGGACAGTACTGTTACATGTGACATTGTTCCTGTCCAGCAATTGTAATGTGCCCAAATTTTATTCCCGCATCCAGGAAAGTTTGAGTCACCTGTATGAATGTCTCACATATATGTTCTGACTGAATGCACTTTGACTACGCCGCACATTCAGGTCACCCATGGATTAGTGTTGACGGAGAGGCACCAGACAAGCCACTTGACAACGCCGTGTTGTCTAGATTGAAGCAATTTACCGCTATGAACAAGCTCAAGAAACTTGCTCTGAAGGTAAGATTTGCTGCCTTTCACACTTTCTCTGTGAAATGCAGCTTGGTCGAGAAAATTGACTCGTAGAAAGTGATTGTTTTTCCCCGTCCTGATCGGGAGGCGTCTTTGGAATGACAGGTTATCGCCGAGAGTCTCTCTGAAGAAGAGATCATGGGATTGAAGGAGATGTTTAAGAGTATGGATACAGACAACAGTGGTACAATCACGTTCGAGGAGCTGAAGGATGGTCTTCAAAAGCAGGGATCAAACCTGGCAGAGTCTGAAGTGCGGCAGCTAATGGCAGCTGTAAGTTCCTTTCTCTACTTAGCGGTGTAGTTAGCACTTTAATTCTGCTAGTCATTCTTTTTACTTCTTTAGTTCAGTATTGCCTTCGTCTTCACCACATTTTAGGTTCCGACAACGTACCAACTTCATCATCCATGCCTGGCCGTACTGTGACAGGCTGATGTTGATGGTGATGGTACTATTGATTATTTGGAGTTTATCACGGCAACCATGCATCTGAATAAGATAGACAAAGAGGATCATCTGTATGCTGCCTTCCAACACTTTGATGGAGACAACAGTGGGTGAGTACTTATATCAATGGATTTACGACTCTATCTTACGCTATTTGACTGATCGTGCACAGGCCGATGTGGATGGAAATGGCACTATTGACTACTTGGAGTTCATTACGGCAACCATGCACTTGAATAAGATAGAGAAGGAAGATCATCTTTACGCTGCCTTTCAGCATTTTGATCAGGACAGCAGTGGGTGAGTGTGAGATTTCAAATTTTGGGTTTTACACATGGCGAATGTGCTGGGCTGTGTCAGAAGAGGTTTCTGCTCGAAGGTACCGGTTTTGATCGTCAGAGAAGTAGGAGATCTCATCTTTCTCATCGACTCGTTTGTGCAGGTTCATCACCATGGAAGAGCTTGAACAGGCTTTAATTAAGCACGGGATGGGAGATCCTGATACTCTGAAAGAAATTATTAGGGAGGTTGACACTGATCATGTAAGTATCCTACTTCAGCTCTCGGTCTTCACGGTTCCGTATACAACAGTTATTATATGAGTGTGTTGATGCCAATGAAGTTCGATAATTAGTCTCTAATACCAATTGTCATTTACAGGATGGACGAATCAACTACGACGAGTTCGTTGCCATGATGCGTAAAGGTACCCCTGGCCACCAAGAGGGTCACCGGAGGAGTATAAGTAATATGGCACCTGTAGGGGCCCCGAGGCAACACCATCACAAATGAGTTTATAAATAAGGATTAACTTCATTGAAAATTAAAGCCAATCATAGCAATGTATATGTCAACCTGGTTAGAGCTCGTTGTGAAACCATTTGTTGCCATTAGCTGTGGGAGGCTGGCTTATATGGGAAGGATACCCAACCAGATTTTCCTGCCTTGCTCTATGTGGAAATTGAGCTCATGAGATCATGTCGATCATCTGAAAGTTCAAGTAGTCATGACATTAGGTTGGGTTTAGAAGTGTACTATTTTTAGAGATTGAATGAGCGGGACTTGCAGTTCAGTACACAGCATAGGAATGAGTGCAAGCTATCGAGCCTTCACTTCAAGCATGTGTATCATAAGGGCAGTGATAGGGGGCTGCTGGTAAACCCTGCGTGGGCATCATCAGGATCACATGTCTCAGTCAATTGCAGGTTTGGTTTCTCGGCAAGCAGTTACTTCACACCTCAGTGGGATCTTTGTCTAGCACATCTTTGACCTGTTGTCATAAAAGCCTGTAGAATCTATCTGTCCAATGTGGGTCAACCACAGTAAGTCGCTTAGGCCCGAAAGGAGGGTTGAGTTTGTTATCAGCTTGCACGAGGTTTCCACATCATCCAGGGTTGGATGGTGGAAAAAGAAGAGGTGCCTATTTTTGTACAATCATTTGTAATTGAAATGTTTGCTTCCGGGTCTCTCTCTCCATTCATGGGCTTTATCAAGGGCGAAGTGTTCTGTCTCCCTCTTTGAACGTTCTATGATGGCTGGGTTCAGGTTTTCCTGAAGCTGCCAAATGACGCAAGGCAAGAAGTGGGTGGAAATTTCAAGGAGGATTTGAAGATATGTTTTTATGTGAAGATTCTGGCACTGGGTGTATTTCTCAGCGGGCATGGTTCTTCAATGAACGTGGTGCAGTCAGTAATTTGATTGTGTGGCGATGCGAAGTATGTAGCATACAATTTCACCTCAGGACCTATTGGGCAAGGAAACCGAGCTGTTATCGGATTGAATTTTACCATCAATGCCCGAAAGCTTGGTATACACACAGTATATTTACTCTGCATTGAAGAATCGTTGAAGATCGTAAAAGCTATTGGATTTTGAAAGGGGAGGTTTCTGAACAAAGAAGACCAGACGCCAACTCGGAGATGCGGGCACCTGGGTTTATGGGGGAACTCAAATAGATATGGGTTCGTGAATTTTACCAATGTTCGCTGGAAAACGGGGAACACTCAATGCGAAACCATGCGGGCGTCGATTACAGATCAATCTGTACAGAAATCTTGCTGTACCATCATAGGTTGAGATAAATTATTGTTGAGGCAAAGCAGGAAAATAACAAAATATTGAGATAAACTCTCCTTATTTGCTGACGTCGTGGAGACTCGCTCGTGAGTGGAGATTGGAGGCTCTATTATCCACAATGATCTGTTCCATTGATTGTGGCCTTTCTTTTCCACTACCCATCCATAGGAGTCACTGGTATCGATGATGAGGGCGGAGTTATTAGCGTGAAGAGTCGCAGTATGTACATGGAACTGCGTTGTGGATGCACGTGGAAGTAAAATCCCAACTTTTGTGATTTCTTTTCAGTCAGGTAGGCCCTGTCAACGGAGACCTTGTCGCACATCTGCCTTTTTACCGAATAGTAAACCTAATCTTGACTCTAAACTCCTCGTAGTGCAAATTTGGGGGTTCGTTCAGATGCTGACACGTTACGACAGGAGGATATGTGTACTGACCTTGCCATCTCATGCTGTAGTAGAAGGGCGTGAACTGGGTGTAAGTCTACGATTGTAGTCTTCGACAGGAGTTGCAACCGGATTAGTCGTTGTCGAGAAGGTTGATTCACCGATCATCCTTTATCGTCAGACGAACGTTATGAAACACTGCAGTGGCTGTTAGAGGTTCCGATTGATTTTCCTCTTTATTCTAAGTTCGGATATACTCGGAAGGTGCAAATCATGAACTGACACCCGTTTTCCTGAAAGTCTCCGTGAAGACGAAAGTGGAGAGTTTAAGGGGTCTGGTCCTCCACAGAAGATATTGACTCGGGCCCCGCGTGTCCTGAAGTATTGAAATGATTGTCAAAGTAGGCAAAATCTTCCAGCCGGTCATAGAAGTGATGGCTAAAAAATCAGATGTTCCTCAGCAGGTATCTCATCTCAAAGATCGAAAATCTTTTGTCGTATCTCAAGAACTGTCTCAAGGACCGATTCTGAGATCGATAAGCCAGGTTATATTCTTCGACGATGACTTGCCCGGTTGGTAAAACAGAGAAACTCCATGCATTTATTCGTGAAGAGTCGGTTTTTGTCATCTATCATGGCTGTGATCGACGTCGTCGTTGATTCTTGTTGACTTCTGGCACTTAATACAGTCCATCTGACCAACGTAAACGCATTCTAACAATACAGTTGAAGATATTCAGGCTCAATTCTTCAGGGCTTGACCTGTAGTTAGATAAGCACCCACTTGCTGAAGTCTAGTCTCGTAAAAGGTCAAATGTGGACGTTAACTGCAAAGTGGGTTTTCGAGGTTAATCATTTCCAGAAGCGCTGATGTGAGGAGGATACAACTTAGAACATGAGGTCGGATGAGGTATCAAATGTTTGGATATTTATCATCATCAATCACTTCTTTTCAGCTCGTTAAGTGCTCAGTTGAGTATGCAAGAGTAACCAGGTTGAGGGGCACATTGAGATCCCGACAGAGCCCTGTCTACCTTACTATCAAGAAAAAAAAGGCTGATTCGGTCCCGTGTGCCGCTTGCACATACCAAAACAGCCATCCAAGGAACAATGTACAAACAAATGATTGATTATGACAATCATCAAAATGTGTGATTCTCCTCCAATGTGCACGAACTCGGACCCCTCCATTATCTCAAACGGGTGATTGTTTCAAATTCATGGTGATTGTTTCAAATTCATGTTGCTATGAAACAATTGTAACAAAGAACTGGAGTAAAATAAAGTGAATTCTGTGCATACACAACGCAGAAAAAAAAATTATTTGACAAATCAAATAATTTTTTTGTCACTCTCAGGTTACATACATTGAAATAATAAAATTTTTATTGAAAATCTACAAATTGTTTAATGCAAATTGTGTCTTTCTGTCATATATATATATATATATATATATAAAGGATAGCAGAAACATTAATTATATCCCTAACTAGGGTTAAACCTCATGAAGAAATATAATTTTACAATTTGAAAAGTACATTTTGCAAATTCTTCAGTCTTGAAATTCATCCCACAAACTTATGATGGTTGTACAAAAAAATGATTTCCGTGATTCATTGTCTCACACACTATCAAAAACTTTGCATCTGATCACACACATGTTTACTTTTTTGTAAAATCTATAAACATTATTTTTAAAAAAATTAGTATTTCATGCAAACACAATGATGTAACAAGCTGAATGCATGAACATATGGATGTAGTTTCTAGTAAAGCTATGTCTACGAAAACATAAATATTTTATCTTATATTATTTTTAAAATGATTGTTATTTAGAAGTAGGAGCTAAATCTAGTTTTACTTTCTAGAATAACACTAATTTGAGTTATAAATTGACCTAAGTCCAAACACATATAAATTATATAAACTAAGAATAATATAAAAATATCTTTATGAATTCATAAAAAATTAAAGTATTGATATGTTTATAAAAATCTACGAAAACAAGAATCAAATTTTTTTTCTATTATTGACATTTTGTTTCATTCATTAGAAATTACTTGATTTTGAGTCAATCCTATATTGATATTCTTAAAATAAACTACCAAACATACATAAATTGTATACATATATCTTAAATTTATAATACATTTATTTAAAATAGAAAAATGTGTCCATCTATAAAAAGTCATCCGTGCTAATCTTGGCTAGAAAACACGGCCTAGGGTAAGCAAAAGCAGCTTCACTCAAAATTTGATCCAAACCTACGGATCACAAAACAAGTACTTTGCGAGTTGACTTGGTTACTTTCAATATCATGTAACCACGTACCTATAGGTATTTGGGCTAATGGCAGACTTCATAAGTTTGTACATTTATACAAACTAGCAAAAATAGCTTAAGTTGTACACGCCGTCAAAGTTGGTTTGTACATTTTGCACAAAGAGTACTTTCATTGATTTAAAATGCCCAATATATCTCTTTGCTTTTTCTCAAAGTAACTCTCTAGTGACGGATGCATTAAGCAAGTACTAAACTCGTCCATCTTACATTTCAAGATAGACAAGTTGCTCTCCAAAGATGCAATGTTTGCAAATATTGTCGCCAATCCATTGCACCAAAAAAATTCTTGATCTTCTCAATTTTCTACTTGCTCCACCACTATGCAAGATGAGCTTGGAATGGATTAAACACGTCATTGATGAACATACCATTGCGCATGTGAATGATTTCTGATAAAATCATGGGTGATGAATCTTCATCGAGGGCACGGTTACTGTTGTCACGCTACGCTTTGACGTCCATGAGATCACATACTAGCTTCATTGCATAGATACAAATTTCTTTCAAGACCGCGATCTTTACATCTTTCATGAAGGGATCGTAGCACAAGTGTACGAACAACCCTTGATTGCGGATGTGATTGACGATAACATCCGTTTGAATATACATATTGTCAAGAGATACAAGTAGCTGAATATTGTTGTTCGCCTTGTCATGCTCCGCGATCTAGATGGCAACCATGCTGGTGAGAGCTACAATCAAAGCTTGAATGTAATGCTCTGGTACGAGGAAAGATCTTGTTTGCAGGAGTGCAAACGCCACGTTGATTGCATCGATGGTTGGCGATATGGTGTACGTGATCATCTGCTACTAGTCTGTTGGCATATGCAAATTGCAATTTTGCTCCTCGATGTATGCAACGATGGATCGGCTATACATTTTGAAAAAATCTATTACGCAATCCAAATAAATCCACCGATTGATTTTCTTTGGACACTTGACGCCCACACTGATGATAAGTTTATTTTGGACATGCAAGAATACGATCAGGGTGTAGGCAAGCTAGATCCATCTGGCTCCAATGATGACTTCAACATATGATTTTGCGACGATGTTCATCTGATGAGAAGCGTACCATATGCACAACACCTTGTTTTCAGCATACTTAACAATACACATTATCAGACAAGAATGTCGCGTAGTCATATTATATCATATTCAAACGACATGCTGATCAACTTGCATCGTCACATTGGTTACAACACGTCCATGAACTTGATGATCATGTTGAAAATGTTTTACGCGGAATGATAATCAAACATGAGAATGACGACAAGATGGAGGTTCAACAAAGTGTTGTTGTTTTAAATGCGCAAACGCAAGTCAAAGGAATGACTAACCTTGATGCATGGTAACATTCTGATTGAGAGAGAATGCTTAGAAAAACTTGCTCCGGATTATGTAAGGAATCTGTTGCAAAGAAGCGACGACAACACAAACATATTGTTTTACAATAATATCATTCACGCCCGTCATTTTGGTCGTTTTGGTACAATACTTGGCATGCTAGATGACTTGCACTTCTTGACCAAATGACATGCCCGTTGATACGTGGTTTATAGCCAGACTAAATCGATTTAAGTTCTTGATGATCACAGTGTAAGATTCTGCATTGTTTGCACTATCTTGTAAGACCGGTTGTTATATGTGTTTATAGTTTAGAAATAGCC